TGAAAAGTGTTCGGCTGCGTTTTACAATATGGATAGTGTACGTTTTTAGTCGTGAAAATTGACTAATAGTAATCGAAAAACATCATCATTAATGCTTGTACTTACCCATCTCTGACTCTGACAAGCGAAGAATATATAGATGACCCAGATTTGGCAGCTAATTAGAGCTGCAATAGCTCAACAAAATACTAGTTTTTGTCTCAATCGAGGCTGAAAGGTCGCATTATACAGTGTAACGGCATACTTTCGCCTTTATACGCACCTTACAGTGCCACATGATATGGTGCAGGTAATCAGAACACATCTGCGACTTTAGTTAATAAAAGCCACTGATGAGAATGGAAAATATTATTTTGATCTAAAGGCTTTGTCCAATCAGTCTTTCTTTTTACCGTACGTCGTATACGGATGGTATGTATTGGCGTAAAATGACTATTATTTTAGCTAGTACTTCCGTTTTGCCTTGTATTCAGGGGCGTCTATCCCCACCTGAATATTTGAGGCATTTTGTACCACCTCAAAGGTTGGATCACTCAGTGTACCACCTAAAAAATTAATTTCTGCAGTAAAAAAGCGTACCACCTTACGTTTGTTTGAGGCATTGCGCCTCAAACGTCCCACAGGATAGACGCCCCTGCTTGTATTTAAAAGAATGAACGTCATCGAATTGTTGGAGAAATGCAAAAAGCTAGTCCAAATGCCTATCAGAATTTAAGACATGTCGATTACCCACAAAGAAACGACAAAGAGGTTCGACAACTAGCGTTGAACAATGTTACATCGGATACAGTAAAAAATCAATTGACGAACCAAGTCAATCAGTAAATGGGACCAATAGTCGAACAGAAAACAGCCAATTCAAATAGTACGGCTCAAAGAATGGCAAAGAAATTGGTAAATGATTTAATTAAAAAAGCTGTTAGTAAAGCAGTAGATGAAGCAAGAACACGGCTCGAAAAACAAGATCGAGAAGAAGAATTCCAAAAAAAATAAAACAGACAAGTTATTTCATACTACACATGTACAGTATTATAAACAGAGGTATGTTCAAATTTCCGAAAAAAAAAAATTCCCGAAATTACCATAATTTACTATTCACAATACAGATTCACCCATAAACCAAATACACAAAATTACAAGAAATTACCTAGATTCAATAATACCTATAAACCAAATTTCCTAGAAATTTCGGTAATTACCAACTAACGAAAAAGAAAACCTCTCAGTAATTTCCGAAATTGCAAACATTTTTAAAACTAATTAATAAGCACTTACTACTAGCACTAACTAATTTCAAGAAATTTCAGTAATTTCCACGTAGTTTTGGCAATTACTGAGAAAATACTGAAATTTCTATCATTTATTAGAAAGAGATATCCAGTAGAATTGCGACCTCTACCTCCGACAATAAGAGAATTTATAGAAATTTCGGTAATTTCCAGGAAATTTTGGTAATTACTGGGAAATTTCTCAAATTCCTGTCATTCATTAGACAGAGATATCCATTAGAATTGGGACTCCAACCTCCGACAATAGGAGAATTTATAGAAATTTCGGTAATTTCGAGGAAATTTTGGCAATTACTGTGAAATTTTTGAACTTTCTTTTATTTATTAGACGGAGATATCGATTTAAATTGGAACTCCTATCTCCGACAATAAGAGAATTTATAGAAATTTCTGAAATTTCTGTCATTTATTAGACAGAGATATCCAATAGAACTGGGACTCCTATCCCCGACAATACGAGAATTTATAGAAATTTCGGTAATTTCGAGGAAATTTTAGCAATCACGGAGAAATTGCTTTTATTTATTAGAAAGAGATATGCATTAGAATTGGGACTGCTATCTCCGACAATAGGAGAAGTTATAGAAATTTACGTAATTTCGAGGAAATTTTGGTATTTACCGCGAAACTGCTGAAATTTCTTTTATTTATTAGACAGAGATATCCAATAGAATTGGGACCGCTGTCCCGGACTATACGAGAATTTATAGAAATTTCGGAAAGTTCGAGGAAATTTTGGGAATTACCGAGAAATTACTGAAATCTCTTTTATTTATTGCACAGAGATATCCCTTAGAATTGGGACTTCTATCTCGGACAATACGACATGTTATAGAAATTTCGGTAATGGCGAGGAAATTTTGGCAAGTACCGGGAAACTGCTGAAATTTATTTTATTTAATAGACAGAGATATCCATTAGAATTGGAACTCCGATCTCCGACAGTAAGAGAATTTATAGAAATTTTGGTAATTACCGGGAAACCGCTGAAGTTTATTTTATTTAATAGACAGAGATATCCAATAGAACTGGGACTCCTAGCCCCGACAATAAGAGAACTTATAGAAATTTGGGTAATTTCGAGGAATTTTTGGTAATTAGTGGCAAATTTCTGAAATTTCTATCATTTATTAGACAGAGATATCCACTAGAATTGGAACCCCTCTCTCCGACAATAGGAGAATTTATAGAAATTTCGGTAATTTCGAGGAAATTTTGGCAATCACTGAGAAATTTCTGAAATTTCTATCATTTATTAGACAGAGATATCCATTAGAACTGGGACTGCTATCTCCGACAATAGGAGAATTTATAGAAATTTCGGTAATTTCGAGGAAATTTTGGTGATTACTGTGAAATTACTTAAATTTCTGTCATTTATTAGATCGAGGTATCCATTAGAGTAGGGACCCCTAACTCCGAAAATAAGAGAAGTTTTAGATATTTGGGTAATTTCGAGGAAATTTTGGGAATTTTGGTAATAATAACTAGTAAATTTGTCAAATTTCTTTGATTTATTATATAGAAATCTGCATTAGAATAGGGTGCTCTACCCGCAAAAGTATTAGCTTTTTAGAAGTTATAAATAAGAATATGGATAAGTAAAAGTGTGGTAAGAATTATATGGATTTTTGAATTTTGTTTGTTTCGGGTAGATAGTGACTTAGTTAGGACCTAGAAGAAGATGTTTAGGGAGGATGGATTGTTCTGGGTATTAAATGAAGGGATATTATTTGAGTGGTTTGTGTTTAATAAAAGTTTATTCAAAGTTTTTGTCTGAAGACATATCGGTGTTATAGTCTGCATGCCGACCCATATCGTAAAAGTCGTAGGGATTTTGCTGATTTTGAAAAAGATGGGTGTAAAATCGCGATGAATCATATATACGAAAAAAATGGGTCATTAAATGGGATTTTATGAGTTTTATATTATGAGGAACCACATCTCCAAAATTGGCTATGAATCAAGGCGATTAATCGATATTTAATCGCCGATTTTGGTGATTGATTTTAAAATGGCCAATTAATTAGGAGAACTCTAAACTGTATCAAATCGTCAGCAGTGTCAAATTTCCAAAAAAGGAAATTTCCCTTTTTTCATTAGGAAGAAATTTATTTTTTTTCATTAGGAGGGTGAATGCCTCAGTCGTTGACTAAGGTCAAACTTTTGCTTTCTTCTTTATGTTTAGATTTTGTATACCATCACTATTGCAATTATTCTCTTTTCTAGATTTCTCTTTTCTTGCTGTGTTTTATATGTACACTCAAATATGGATGCGACGATTCGATCAGTGATCGTGAAGAAAAAAATTCTCCAGAATATGAATCTGCACTTACGAACTTTTTTGTCTTTTCCTTTTTCGATTGTGCCTTCGTTTTATTGTGACTGAGTAGGTGTTGCATTAGTTTTTAATTTTTTTTATTTTTGGTTTATGTAGAATCATGTATATGTTTTAGTTTCACAATAGATTATTCGATCAATTAGAATAAGCGATGAAAATTGCCAAATATGTCTATAAAATTGAGATGAAATGACTCAAATCATGCTTATAATTAGGAGAATAAAGGGTAATAATCGATCGAAAAATCACGATTTATCGCAGAAATCGCCAAAATTATAAGGAAAAATCGGCGTTTAATCGCGTTTAACCGTTCGAGTCCCGGTGATAAGCGTACTTACTACCACTTGGTTTAGGAATTTTAGGAAGTTACGGAGAAAATGTGGAAATTACTGAGAAATTTTTGGTTAATATAGGAGTTGGTATTCTCATTTTATGTGAATAGTAGTGTATTTTAAATATTAAGCAATAGACGATGTTGTCTATAATGTCGGAAATTTCTGAAATTGCTGCGAAATTTCGAACTTACCAAGAAATTTCGGTAAATACGGTAATTACCGAAATTTCTTTTTTTCTTGTTCTGTATGGATGTATATCGTTCGCTATTGTAGTGGTGGCTTATTTCAGTATTATATTAGTCATGATTTATTTGTTCGCTTCAGCCGTCTATTCTTTTTTTGCACAGTACGACGTATATATATAACCGGGCTTTGTACTACAAAGCCCGGTTATATATATACGTCGTACTGTGCAATAATCTACAAAGTTTGTAGATTATTTTTATTTCTTTTAGCTGACTAGGAGAGACGATTGTCGTTCAACATTCAATCGAAGATGTTTTTTTGTTTTCGTACGATATTTCCCTATGTGCTAGATATAGAGTCTATGGTGTTAGCTAGCTGTTGTCGTTTATTCGTGGTCCTAATTGATAGGTGTGTGAGGACCATGCCACCTCTTTTTTTTTGAAATGCAAGTCTGTTGACGAGGCCAGCTTTTGTGGAACCTTGAGATATTCTTAAAGTCTGGTTTTCCACGATTTTGTTTGTTGCCGTTGTTGATTTCTTGATTCGATAATCCGCTACTTTTTTGTTTTAGATTTGTTCATAAATAGTACTTATTATTCCAATTGGTAATATATGATAACGTTTTTGCTTTCGTATTCGATATTGTACGATGGTTGTTATTCGTGTGGGTCATATATATGATCTTTGTTTTTGTCATTGTAATATCTATATAGTATATTTTTTAGTTAAGTTGGTGTTTGTTGTAAAATAATATATTTAATTGTTTAATAGTTAATTGTTGGTATTGAAGAATTACTAAACACTTTATTTTCTTTGGACTGTCTATAAACGAAACACATTTAAAACCAAATGGACAAGCAAACGTCAGCTAATATACATGTGCGACCAAGGATAGCTGCTACAAACAAGAATTCTGGAAGTTGGTCACAAACAAATCGTACTTTTTTGTCTGCCGAAGGCCAAACAGCCATGGAATATAATATTCGTATGAGCAAAATTAAAGAGAAAGTACAATTCAAACCAGAACTTGTATGGTCACCACGTGTGCGACGATGGCTGGATACATCATTTCAAGTCCGAATGCTGGATAATACCGGTTCCACTATATATCTAATCTCATGTGCATCGTACTTGCCCGAAAATATATACGTTTATCGGAACAATACAGTTCGGCTGTCGAATGGCTTATATATGTTCATGGTTACCAATTCTTGTAAGTTTTTTCTTATGCATTTATAAAATGGAGATACATACTTTTTCGTTTCCAGCATTTGGCAAAAGTGACTTTTATAAACTATACAAACATGCTATTTCAAATTGTTATCAGGTGAAAATGACTGGTGAAATGCTTCCAAGACCAAATACCAATGATCCACAAGTATCCAATCTTGTTAAATGTCCTTACTTTATTGATGATGTAAGTTCTTTTTTTCGTGAATACATTGATTTCTCGCCAGCAACTATGAAGTTCGAGCTTCGAGAAGTTTGCAAATAAAATTGGATTGTGTCAACATTAGCAAGTATTTGTGAAATTAAAATTTGCGTACTTAAGGACAGAGACAGAGATTTACTTTGTGAATAATATAGGTAAACAGTTTAAATAGCCTTTCATAATCAGTTCCATAGATACGTAAAAACATGCACAATTAATTTGACTCAGATATAAAATATAACTAACAATGTAATATTGCTGACTCATTTTCTTTCCTCTGAAAAGAAACACGTCCTCAAGTCACCGCATGTCATCGATCAGCTAGGAAAAAAGGAATGAAAGCTTGAGTTGAACGAACAGTTATGTTCGAAATCTCTTTTCTGATCCAAAAATATGCATTTCATCGAATAGATTATAATAGTTTAAGCATTTTAAATGCTCCAGAAATATAACTGAAAAAAAAGTTGATAGGAAATAACTTTTTTGACGGTTTGTGTAAATACTGATGCGACTGTAGGACAAAAATCTAATTGAGATTCGGTTCGAAGCAAAAGTTGATTTAAAATAGATCTCTGCTGCGGATTCACAAGGATCATCAAATTCATTCCAGCAGAAGACTACAAAAAATAAGCACCTTCGTCTCGTTTTCTTTACAACTCCTACCCATATATAAATCAAACATCACAGAAAATTCATTTATGTTACTTTCAATCGATTACAAACATCGGCTATCACTTTATTGTCGTTACTTCACTAGATAAAACATTGAAAGAAACAATTCTGACCACTGTTTGGTGATAATCCATTAAAGTTTATAGTCTTAATTGACAATTAGCCTAGTTTTGATTTTCTGTGAATCAAACCCGAAATGAATACAAGCCGTAAATGCATGATGATTGCTCATATTGATGAAACAGGACTGAGTCTAGATTAACCTATGCAAAATCATAATATGAAGTTAGCAGTGTGTCGTTGTGCTAAACTGTTTATATGCTTGTTTTTCTTTGTAACCCAATCGCATTCAGATGACTAAACTATTTAATACTTTTATCAATGTTTTGGAGATTTCGATCGGAAACAATCTCAATCTTATCTCGAAGATACTAATAGTTTATTTAGAGAATTAAAAAGTCGCACGCGTTTTTTTTCCTCAATAAATGTTATAACAACTCCTTTTCGATCATATTTATAAAATATATTGACACATGAATAGTTATTTTCTGGTTCTTTTTTTTTAGTTTACCAAGTTGGGTCTTTTAAATGGTCTTGTCAATTTTCTTCAACTTATTCTTGCCGATGAAGCCGATCCATTTCTTATTCGTAATGGATTAATACCACCTCTTACATTACCATCAAACGGTGGTAACGACAATTTTAACATAAACGACATTGCTTTACAAGCTTATAGTGGTGAATGCTGCGTTTTAAAAAGCACAGCTACTGAATCAATTCATATTAAATGCAAAAAGCTTTGTATTTTGGGCAATTGCACATCAGAAAGTACAATTCGTTTAATGCGGCGGAAAAATAATTATGAACAACCATCACCATTTGTTGAACGTTCTAGTTTTTTTTGGGTGCCTATGCCACTCACACTTGAAAAGTTCAAACAACCTCAATGGCCATCTTCTGAACCAACTGAAGATCAAATTTGTATGACATTGGATATATTAAGCAATATCGATTTTTATTTTGACGATGATAGTCGTCATCTTATAATCAGTTTCGGTAATGCATTGATGTTTCAAGGTCAGTATTAACTGGTCTATATACAGCTGCTCTTAAAAGTTAATTACAACATTTCGAAAAAAAGAAAAATCTTTCGCGGAGAGAATTATTGTTAAGAAAATCTAAGTTTTGTATTAAATATCACAAGTAATATTTTCTGTTTCATGGATCACTGCAAAAATCTCAAATATCTTTAGGTATTCATTTGAAAACTGCATGCAGGAGATGAAAAGTATGAAATTTTCAATTTACCGAGTGATCTGAGAACATTAGCTGAGCTGAAAACGTGAAGTATTATTACACGACTTCAGTGAAGACCTTATACCATAATGACAGGTTTTCTGTATCGTTTTATTGCTGGAGAATATATTGAACAACATTTCATGAAAGACCACCGCAATATTGCTGAATATATGAAAAAAAGAAGGACAGGATTTATATACATGCATAAAAATGAATCGAGAATAGATCATAAAGTTGTTTTTCAAAGAAATTACAATACTTAATCGAAATTCCTTATTCGAAATGCCTATTCTGCAGTTAGCAGGAAATCACGCTGTCTATCCGGAGCGATATTATATCAACTGCGATAGAGAATTAAGGTAATTACAAGATATACATCTCAATACACGCAAACATTGGTCGTTCAGCTAGTGTCTTAAATGTATTTATCCGTAGATTTTATGCGGTGAAATGAAACGTTGTAGTAGTGACTAAAAAGAGGAGGTCATGTCAAATCTAAATATGTTACATGTACAGATTCTTTCCGATATGTACATCGTTTCTATAATGACATCTCAACGGTCTGTAAGTATGGTCAGTCTTTCTGATAACCAAGAGAAGCAGACAGTCAGATAGTCTTATATGTCGAATATTCAGATGTGAATATTGTCTAACTATGGTCAGTTTTTCTTTTGAACCGGAGAAGCAGACAATAATCATATATGTCGAATATTTAGATTTTAATATGTTCTTAGCAGTCTTTCTTATAAATCAGAGAAGCCGGCAAGCAAATAATCTCATGCATTCTGTGTACACATGCATGCGGTATCTTTTGTAACTAGCAGAGAAGCAGGCATTCAGATGATCTCAACCTAAAATATTAATCTTATGGTTGCTTGCCGACCAGGAGAACTTTTTAAAAATTGAAAGCCTGCGCAAAATTATTATCATAACTGTGAAGAACAGTCGCTCCTGTGGAAATCCGGCAAATCTAGCGCGTGCAATGTTACTAGTTAACTCACACTCAGCACCCACGGGGGGGGGGGCGCGGGGCGCCGGGCGCGGCCCCGGCGCCGCCC